AATGCGGAAAGGATTCCCTATTTAATAAATGGTGTTAGGAAAACTGGCTAGCTACATGCAGAAAACTGAAACTGGACCCCTTCCTGACACCTTATACAAAAATTAACTCAGGATGGATTAAAGACTTAAATCTAAGACCTAAAACCATAAAGACTCCAGAAGAAAACCTAGGCCATACCATTCATGACATAGGCACGGGCAAAGACTTCATGACTAAAACAATAAATGCAATGGTGGCAAAAGCCAAAATTGACAAATGGCCTAATTAAACTAACGAGCTTCTGCACAGCAAAATAAACTATCAGCATAAACAGGCAACCTACAGAATGGGAGAAAAATTTTGCAATCTATCCATCTGACAAAGGACTAATATCCAGAATCTACAAAGAAGTTAAACAAATTTACAAGAAAAAAACAATCACATCAAAAAGTGGGCAAAGAATATGAACAGACACTTCTAAAAAGAAGACATTTGTGTGGCCAACCAACATATAAAAAAAGCTCACCATCACTGGTCATTAGAGAAATGCAAATCAAAACCACGATGAGATACCATCTCATACCAATTAGAATGGTGATCATTTAAAAGTCAGGAAACAACAGATGCCAGAGAGGATGCGGAGAAATAGGAATGCTTTTATACTGTTGGTGGGAGTGTAAATTGGTTCAACCATTGTGGAAGACTGTGGCAATTCCTCAAGGATCTAGAACCAGAAATACCATTTGACCCAGCAATCCCATTACTGGGTATATACCGAAAGGATTATAAATGATTCTACTATAGAGACACACGCACACCTATGTTTATTGCAGCACTGTTCACAATAGCAAAGACTTAGAAACAACCCAAATGCCCATCAATGACAGACTGGATAATGTGTCATATATACATCATGGAATACTATGGAGCCATGAAGAATGATGAGTTCATATCCTTTGCAGGGACATGGATGAAGCTAGAAACCATCATTCTTAGCAAACTAACACAAGAACAGAAAACCAAATACCACATGTTCTCACTCATAGGTGGGAGCTGAACAATGAGAACACATGGACACAGAGAGGGAAACATCACATGCTGGGGCCTGTCAGGGGGTAGAGGGCTGTGGGGGGCAGATAGCATTAGGAGAAATACCTAATGTATATGATGGGTTGATGGGTGCAGCAAACCACCTTGGCACATGTATACCTATGTAACAAACCTGCACGTTCTGCACATGTATCTTGAAACTTAAATAATGAAAAATAATAATGATAAAGGAAAAAAACTTCAATGACTACACACAGCAAGGAATACAAATATAAGCCTGGCAAAAACAGTTTGGAAAAGTCACTATGGTCACAGAATCAGACAATCTGATTTCCAGAGTCACTCATTGTAATAATGTTCAGGTCTCAAAAAATTACAAAGAAACAAGAAAATATGGCTCATTCATAGGGGAAAAGAGGATTTGACAAAAACTATCCTTGAGGAAGCTCAGGCATTAAAATTCCTAGTCAAAGACATTAAATCACCTGTACAAAGAATGCTTGATGAGCTAAAGGAAACCATGGGAAATAATATTTGAGCAAATGGGTGATTAGCAATAAAGAGATAGAAATCATAAAAACCGACTAGAAGTTCTGGACCTGAGAAGTATCATAACTGAGAAGAAAAATGTATTAGAGAGATTCTACAGCAGATTGAACAGGCAGAAGAATCAGTGTACTTGAAGATAAGGCAATAGAAATTATTCTGTTTAGGGAGAAGAAAGGAATGGAGAAAAATGAACAGAACCAGAGGTTCCTGTGGGACACCATTAAATGTACTAAGATACATTTACTGAGAGTTCAGAAATAAAAGGCAGAGATTATTTCAATAATGGTCCAAAACTTCCCAAATTTGATAAAAGACATAAATCTTCATATCCAAGAAACTCAATGAACTTCAATCATGATAAACTCAAAGAGATCCATACCCAAATGTATTAGTCAAATTGTCAAAAGACAGAAAATTTTGAAAGCACCAAGATACGATTTATCACATACAAGAGATCCTCAAGATTAGCAGCTGATTTCTCATCAGAAACCATGGAGTCTAGAATGCAAAATAGGATGACATATTTAAAGTGCTGAAAGAAGGCTGGACATGGTGACTCATGCCTGTAATTATTGTACTTTGGGAGGCTGAGGTGGGTGGATCTCTTGAAGTCAGGAGTTCCAGAGCAGCCTGGCCAACATGGTGAAATCCTGTCTCTACTAAAAATACAAAACTAGACAGGCATGGTGGCACACACCTGTAGTTCTAATTACTTGAGAGGCTGAGGCAGGATAATTGTATGAACCCAGGAGACAGTTTGCAGTGAGCCAAAATTGTGCCACTATACTCCAGCCTGGGTGACAGAGCAAGACTCTGTCTCAAAAAAGATTCTTAAAAAAAAGTCCTGAAAGAAGAGGCAAAACATCTTTTAAGGATGAAAGAGAAATTAAGACATTCTTAGATCAAAATTAAGGGAGTTTATTAGTAGACCTGCCCTGCAATAAATGGTAAAGGGAGTCCTTCCAGCTGAAATAAACACCAGACAGTAACTTGAAGCCATATGAAAAACTAAAGAACACTGGTAGAGGTAACTAACAGGTAATTAGCAAAGCCAGTATTATTGCACTTTGGGTTTGTAATGCATCCTTTTTCTTATAATTTAAAGGTAAAATTTATAAAACTATAAATCCATGTTAATGGAAAAAAACTATAAAGATATTATACATGACAATGACAGTATATAAAGAGGGAAGATGTGTAAGAGCAATATATACTACTTAAATTCAGTTGGTATTATTCAAGCTAGATTGTTTTAAGATATTTCTTGTAATCCCAAAGGTAACCAGTAAGAAAATAACTAAAAAGTATAGCCAGTAATCCCAGCTACTTGGGGGGCTGAGGTAGGAGAATGACTTGAACCCAGGAGGCTGAGGCTGGGGTAAGCCAAGATAACACCATTGCACTCCAGCCTGGGAAACAAGAGCAAAACTCTGTCTCAAAAAAAAATAAATAAAATAAAGAAAAAGACATTCAGAAAACAAACAGCTAAATGGCAGAAGTAAAGATTTTCTCGTTAATTACTATGAACAAAAATGGGTTAAATTCTCCAATTAAAAAGCAGAGATTGGACCATGTGCAGTGGCTCACACCTGTACTTGGAGGCTGAGGTGGGAGGATGGCTTGAGCTCACTAGTTTTAGACCAGCATGGGCAACATGGTGAGACTCTCTCTACAAAAGAATTTTAAAATTAGCCAGGCATGCTGGTGTGCATCTGTGGTTCCAGCTCTCAGGTGGCTGAAGTGGGAAGATCACTTAAGCCCAGGAGGTCAAGGCTGTGGTGAGCTGTGATCATGCCACTGCATTCCAGCCTGGACAGCAGAGCAAGAGCAAGACCCTGTCTCAGGAAAAAAAAAAAAAAAAAAAAAAAGATTGGCAGAATGGATTTTTAGAACATGATCTATCTATATGCCGTATAGACACTTTCTTTTAGAGACAGAGTTTTGCTCTTTCACCCAGGCTGAAATGAAGTGGCACCAAATCAGCTCACTGCAACCTCTGTCCCACAGGTTCAAGCAATTCTCCTGCTTCAGTCTCCTGAGTAAATAGGATTATAGGCACCTGCCAATGCATCCAGCGAATCTATTTTTAGTAGAGACGGGGTTTCACCATGTTGGCCAAGCTGGTCTCTAACTCCTGACCTCAAGTGTTCCACCCGCCTTGGCCTCCCAAAGTGCTAGGATTACATGCGTAAGCACTGCACCCAGCCCATAGAGACAAATTTTATTTTTTATTTTTATGAGGTGGAATCTCATTCTGTTGCCAAGGCTGGAGTGCAGTGGAGTGATCTCGGCCCACTGCAACCACTACCTCCCAGGTTCAAGCAATTCTCCTGCCGCAGCCTCCTGAGTAGCTGGGATTGCAGGTGTCCACCACCATGCCCAGCTAATTTGTTTATATTTTTTAATAGAAACAGGGTTTCACCATATTGATTAGTCCACTTTCGAACTCCTGACCTCAAGTGATCTGCTCACCTTGGCCTCCCAAAGTGCTAGGATTATTGGCACGAGCCACCACTCCCAGCCGAGACAAAGTTTGAATACTAAGATACAAAAAGCTCGGAAGTAAAAGGTAGCAAAAAGTTATTCCATGAAAATCGTATATTTTAACAATGGCTACAGTGCGAGACAAAATAGATTTTCAGTCAAAACAGTAACAAGACAAAGAAGGTCAGTATATGCTGACAAAACTTCAGTTTATGAAGACACAACAATTGTGCACATATGCACATGTCAAACGCCCCCAAAATACATGAAAGCAAAAACTGACATAATTAAATGTGAAATACACAGTTGGAGATTTCAATACCTCATCTCCAATAATGGACAAGAACCAAATAGAAGACTGATAGAGGACTTGAACAACACTAGAAACCAATTAGGCATAGCCGACACATACACAACACTCCAATCAGCAACAGTAGACTACACGTCCTTCTCAAGTGCACGTGGAACATTTTCCAGAATAGGCCATATGTTAGGCCATAAAGTAAGTCTTAATTGTTTTTTTAAGATGGAGTTTCGCTCTTGTTGCCCAGGCTGGAGTACAGTAGCGCAGTCTCGGCTCACTGCAACTTCCGCCTCCCTGGTTCAAGTGATTCTCCTGCCTCAGCTTCCCGAGTAGATGGGATGACAGCACCCGCCACCACGTCCAGCTAAGTTTTGTATTTTTAGTAGAGATGGAGTTTCACCATGTCGGCCAGGCTGGTCTCAAACTCTTGACCTCAGGTGATGCCACGCCTTGGCCTGCCAAAGTGCTGGGATTACAGGCGTGAGTCACCGTACCCGGCAATAAAGTTTAAAAAAATTGAAACTATATAAAGTATCTTTCCAACTACAATAGGATAAAATCATAAATCCATAGCAGAAGGAAAACTGGAATACTCATAATACGTGGAAACTTAACACGCTCTTTTCTTTTTCACATCACTTGGGTAATGTGCCAACATCGTAATAAGGTTTGAGGGTGTCACATCTCATGCATGTGTGTGAGCGCCCAATCATCATGCTCATGAACTACAAAAGGATTGCAACACACTATTTTTCCCCCGAGACAGTCTCACTCTGTCGCCCAGCCTGCGGGACAGCGGTGCAATCTCAGCTCACTGCAATCTCTGCCTCCTGGGTTCAAGCAATTCTCCTTCCTCAGCCTTCTGAGTAGCTAGGATTACAGGCGTGCACCATCACTCCTGGGTAAGTTTTGTATCTTATTTAGTAGAGACGGGGTTTCACCATGTTGGCCAGGCAGGTCTCAAACTCCTGACCTCGTGATCCACCCGCCTGGGCCTCCCAAAGTGCTGGGATTATAGGCATGAGCCACCACGCCAGGCCCTTAACACACTCTTAAACAACCCGTGGGTCTAAAAGGAAGTCACAAGGGAAATCAGAAGACACCCTGAGATAATGAAAGCAAAAACACCACACACCAAAACCTACAGCAGGCGACAAAATCGAAAGCAGTATGTGGGGGAGATTTATAGCTGTAAAGACTACGTTACAAAAGCAAAAAGCTCAAATCAACAACCCATCTGCACACACTAAGGATAAGGGTGAACAAAACCCAAAGCTAGCACAATGAAGGAAATAATAAAGAGCGTGGCAGATATAAACAAAACAGAGAATAGAAAAACACAGAAAATCTATAAAACCAAAAATTGGTTCTTTCTAAAGCACAAAACTGACAATGCTTTACCTAGATCAACAAAGAGACAAGACTCACATTGCTAAAATTTGCAATGAAAGTGGGAACATTCCTAACAGATATAAGAGAATGCTTTATAAAACACCGTTACATGCCAGCAACATACAATGGAATATTATTCAGCCATAAAAAGGAATGGGGCCGGGTGCAATGACTCACACATGTAATCCTAGCACTTTGGGAGGCTAAGGTGGGTGGATCACTTGAGGTCAGGAGTTCAAGACCAGCCTTACCAACATGGTGAAACCCCATCTCTACTAAAAATACAAAAATTATCCAGGTATGGTGGCGCACACCTGTAATCCCAGCTACTTGGGAGGCTGAGGCAGGAGAATCACTTAAATCCCAGAGGCGGAGGTTGCAGTCAGCCATTATCACACCTCTGAGCTCCAGCCTGGGCAAGAAGAGGGAAACTCCGTACTTTAAAAAAAAAAAAAAAAAAAAAAAAAAAAAGAAAGGAGGAAAAAGCTATGTTGTGCTGACACATGCTACAACATGGATGAACTTTGAAAACATTATAGTTCCACTTCTGAGAAACATCTCCAATAGGCGAATTTATGGAAACAGAAACAGAGGTTACCAGGGGTTAGAGGGAGGGGGAAATGAGTAGTTAGCTAATGGACACAGAGCTTCTATTTGGGGTGATGAAAAAGTTTTGGAAATAGTGGTGATGGTTGCCCAACGGAATGGAAGTAATGCCACTTAATTCTACTTTTAAAAACAGCTAAATTAGCATATGTTACATGTATATTTTACCGCAATTTTAAAAAAATAGTATCTGCAAGGACCATTTCCTAGCCAGGCTGGTGGCTGCCTTTCTACAGCCTTAGGGGAAGAGGAGCATTTTCTGCTTGTCTTCCTGAGGTTTCTTTTGCCCACCAATTAGGAACCTGTGAATTTCAAGGTCAAACTCTGGAATTCAGTCAGCACTAAAGGAAAAATTATAAACGGATAATATGTACAATACGGAAAGCGTGGAAAAAGCTAAAGGAAGAGTGTTAGCCAGTGGACGGGCAGGACTTTGCCCCTGCAGTCCTCTCCAGAGGCCCGTGGTCCACACTTTTTCTTAGATGGGAATCGTTGCTCCTAACCATAGATTTCCCTGCCTGTCCAGAAAGGCTTGTGATGCTGTGTTTAGGGCTGCAGTTGGTCTCATTTCATAAGCATTCCTGCCCACAGTGCTCACCTCACAAAGCCATGCTCACTGCAGTGCCTGGGCTTGGACCCAGCAGAGGTAGGGGTGGTTCTGACTCTGACCTCTGCCCCCCTCAACTCTTCCAGAGCCATTGGGCATCTCCCAGGGGGCCCACAACCCAGCACCTGCCACCCAGCACCCTTGGCATCCTCTGCTTCTGACCTTCCAGAGCGATGTGTCCACCTGTGAACCAGGACTCCAGCATCCCTGCAACTCCTTGTGTGACTGGTGTCATCCAGAAACACCTTGGAAAGCCCCAGGCCCTCCGCCCTGTATTCTTTGTCCACAGCCTCTGCTTTGGTTATGTCCTGGCGCTGGGTGGAATAAACACGCAACACAGGCATTGTGGCAGGGAAGAGGGAGGCCACCGAGACAGGATCCACATACGTACGCAGAAGCCCACGTCCTTACAACAACCGAAATGTAACCCCTGGGACAGTAACGTGCTGGCCTGAGCCCACCCCAGTGCCCTCCCAGGCTTCCCGGGACTGGGAGCCAGCAGGACCCCGGCGACCTCCAACCTGCCTTTGTATTTTCAACTTCATCCCCTGGAGTCTGTAACAGCAAGAGCCAGATGGATTGCAGGCGATTCTGAGCTGTTCCCTCCCGCTTGACGGATGCAAGTGTCACCCAGACACACAGCAGGGCTCGCCCCTGCCAGGGAGGCTTTTAAAGTCCATTTTCTGTTGCTTATAACACAATACCTAAAACTGGGTAATTTATAAAGAAAAGGAATTTCTTACAGTCATGAAGGCTGAGAGTCTGAGGTTGAGGTGTTACCGGATGGAAGGTCTTGACTGTGAGTTGTCCAGGTTCTTGGCATGTTGAACAAAGAAGTGAACAGAACGCACAAACAAAGCAGCAAAAAAAACAGGCAATGAAAGATGAAGCAGCCGGCCGGGCGTGGTGGCTCACACCCGTAATCACAGCACTTTGGGAGGCCGAGGCACCCGAGGTCAGGAGTGTGAGACCAGCCTGGCCAACATGGTAAAACTCGTCTCCACTAAAAATACAAAAAAATTAGCTGTGTGTGGTGGCGGGCAGCTGTAATCCCGGCTACTTGGGGGGCTGAGACAGGAGAATCACTTGAATGCAGGAGGCAGAGGTTGCAGTGAGCCCATATCATCCCACTGGACTCCAGCCTGGGCAATAAGAGTGAAACTCCGTCTCAAGAAAAATAAAAGACATTCGTCAGTCTGGTTGCCCAAAAACAAACAAACAAAAAGACAAAGCAACAAAATAACAGCATACCAAATGCACAGACTGAAGAAGCAAACACACAATCCACAGGGCCGGAGCGAGCCCAGCAAACGGGCAGGGTTTTTATAAAGAATAGCTCTCGGGCCCCTAGCTGCCCTTTAGAGGCCTCCAATTGGTTACACCCTACGAAGAATTATCCTGGGCCAACCAGAGGCTGAAGTGGAGGCTTGGCCCACGGTCAATCAGAGGTTGAAGTGGAAGCTCCTGTCTTGCTATCACAGGAGGCGGGACGTGGCCCGCGTGCTGCCCAGTCCGGCCTGGAACACGCTGCACCTGCTGTCCTCTGGCTCATGAGAACTGGCTGCACCTGCTGTTCCTTTGCTTCTGCCCCAACCCTTGGCTACGTTAATCCCCTCTTCTCCTGCCTCAGAGAGGCTGTATCTTGCTGGTGGGGACTCGGGTGTCCCGAGGCGGTACTGGGTATCACGTGGGGAGGATGTGAGCCTGCTCACGTGCTTCCTTAAATCTCTCTTCCTCTTACAAAGCCACCAGTTACCCTCCCATGATGACCCATGAATCCCTTTATGGGGGCAGGGCCCTGATGATCCAGTCACCTCTTAAAGGCAACACCTCTCAATACTGCCACATTGGGGATTAAATGTCAACATGAGTTTTGGAGGGGACAAGCATTGAAACCAAAGCAGAGGCATGACGGGTGGAGCCCAGAGGTGGAACACACCTGGGTCCCCACAGCCCACCCCTTCTAACACGGCCTGGCCATCCAGGGATGTAATGTTCTGAATGACAGGTAGGCATGACTGTGCTTTCTTTCAACAAGAGACAGGTGTCAGTCGCGAGGGCTGGGAAGAGGCACTAGAGTCCCAGGCTTCCTCTCATAGTGCTGGAGGCTGACTCAGCAGGTAGAAACACAATCATTCTTGTGGGTACCAGTGTGGCCAAGGAAGGGACACATTATTGCATCCTCAGGCTTTCCTTGCCCAAGAGGGACAGTCGCTGGGAGAGGCCCACACTGCCAGGTGGGTCTGTCTCACTCAGTCTGTGACAGGGAGACAGGGAGTCTCCTTTTTACACCACACACCCCTCGACCAACCCAGGAAACCCAGGGTGGCCAAAGTGGTCACAGCCAGCCAGGGTGTCCCCTGCTTCTCTGGGGGACAGGGTTCACCCCGGCTCAGTTCTGCTGCATGGGGCCACAGGACCCACCATTCCTGAGCCTTACTGTCCCGTCTGTAGGCTGGAGGGGCAGAGAGAGAGGCTGGCTTGTCCTTGGGTGCTGCTGCTTCCCACCACGGAGCCCCCACAGGCAAAGTTGCTCGGGATTCTGGAATCTTCTCTCATCTGAGACCCACCCTACCCCACAGTGCCTGTCTAGAAGGTGGGTTAGGAGTGGGAAGAAGACCCCCAACGTGGTTCCGAGCACTGGCTTTGGAGTCCGGGACCTGGGTTCAAATCCTTGCTCTGAGTGACCCTGGGTGTGTGATGCCCTCTCAGGCCTCATCTTCCTCTAGATATCTATAAACGTCTGAGAGGGGGCACAGTGCCACCTCTCAAGGCCATGGTGAGGTCAGGCTGGTCAAGTGCTCGGTGATGTGCCTGGGCTTGGACCCGGCAGAGGCAGGGTCAGGCAGTCAGGAGTGGTTCTGACTCTGCCCTCTGCCCCACCAACCCTACCAGAGCCATTGGTCATCCCCCAGGGGCTCACCACCCAGTGCCTACTGCCCAGCACCCTTCCCATCCTCTGCTTCCAACCTTCCAGGGTGAGGTGTTATTCCTTCTTTGACTTGAATCCAGCTGGAGAAGCAGAATCCCTTTCTCTTCCCAGGAAGGTTCCCCAGACCTCAGTTAGAACACAGATGTCACTCCCTGCACCCAGAGGACGTGGCATGGCTGGGCTCCCCTGGTCCAGAGGGG